CGCGGGACGAGACGACCAGTCCCGTTGGATAGCCATAATGGTGGGTGGAGATTGGGGTGGGTGAGGCTGGTCGTTGGGTGGGTTTTTTTGTTTATATTTAAAATATTTACTTTATTCTTAATGATTTTACGGACAACAAGTTTTAAAGTCTTTTTTTAATTTCTTTCTTAAACTCTGTGTCATGTCAAATACTACCCATATATTAGGTCATCTGATTGTTTGATTTTGTTTCTAAATAAGAAAAACTGACATTCTTTATGTGATTGACTAAAATAATGAGTGTCACGTATTGGAAGGGAGGGAGGAGTAGATAAAGAATTACATTTGGAAAGGAGGGGCATATTGCCTAACGAGGAAATACCATCACAGCCATTTACAATGTTTAAATTAAGAAAATATTCTTTTTAATTTTCTTATGTGTTAAAAATAAATTTCTTACGTATAAAAGTAAATTTTTCATGTGTTAAAAAAAAGGATAAGGTCATATTATTTCTGTTAATTTTATACTGCTCAAATTGACCAATAAGATTCTTGACAAGCAGATGGGACGTTAGTGCCATCGATGAATTGCCGCCATACATGAAATCCTGTTATCTTGCCATTCTTGGTGTTTATGCTGAAATGGAGGAGGAATTGGCCAAGAGAGGAGAATCTTACCGGGTTGACTACGCTAAAAATGAGGTCATATCTATTTAATTACAATTTGTATTACTACGTTCATATAACTATTTCAATGTTTCTTTTTGGATTAAATATACTTCATTTCCTGAAATTGAAAATTGCTTAACGAAACATANGGCATAGGTGATAATTTGATAAACAAGAATGTCATGGATTGGGTAACACATGAACCTTTAATTGTTCAAGCTTCAACAGTAATTGCCAGACTGATGGATGACATGGCTGGACATGAAGTAAGAATGTGTTATGCTAGTTAAACTAGTTTCCAATAACTTTTTACAGCTGCTTTTCTAAGTGAATACATTTTTGTAGTTTGAACAGGAAAGAGGACATGAACCTTCAGCAGTGGAGTGCTACATGAAGCAGCATGGAACATCAAAAGAAGAGGTGCTTTTGGAGCTTCAAAAATTAGTAAGTAATGCATGGAAAGAGGTAAACAGACAATGTCTGTATCCAAGAGAAGTACCAATGCTTATTCTCATGCGAGTTCTTAATCTTGCACGCGTGATAGAACTCCTTTACAAAGATGGAGATGCATTTACACATTCCACTACCAAGCTCAAAAACATCATTACTTCAATATTGGTTGATCCTGTTCCATAATGTAACCATGTTAGGGTCATATGATATTATCATTTATACCTATAGATTATACTCTGATTATACATGATTACCTATAAATTATATATATATATTATACATCCGTCGATTATTTTTAGTTTAAGTGGTTGGATGTGCAGCTATTTAGGTTAATTCTTCTTATACTACGCTATACACTAGACCTACTTATTTACTAGTAAATTTGTCCGCGTTCATTGCCAACATCAACGCTAAATGAAAATTTACATAGATTGAAGCGGAAGAATCTATTTTTCTAGTCAACTCAAATTGATTTTTTCTATACATAAATGTAATATTTGACGACAAAACTAATGTCCTAAAAGGTTTTAAGTAGACGTTGTCTTATAGAAATTGCAAACCTCATCTATCATCAAGGAGATTCAACTTGTATTGAGTAGACTACCCTCCATTATCCTAAAGGCTATAGAGGTACTTGCTCAATCCCCGAGCAACTAACTGTGAATACTTAGCTATCTGGTAGCTCATCATACCATCTCTCCGATCTTTAGCAATATATCAGACTAATGAATACTAAATCACAACCTCATTCAAGTTAATTCCTCGAGCCTAAGTTGTGGTCTGTAACTGGCTGCATGTCCTCCAGAACGGCATATCTTTATATTACGGAAAATAATCTCTCACCTAATCCGCAATATCATCACAAGCCGCTATTGCCCAAAATGAGATTATGTCTTCGCCAACATGTAGGAAGGACAAGAAAGAATATCAGAATCCTACTCCAAACCTACTGCACGAAGAGTTAATGAAAGAAAGGACCTCTTTCCTAAATTCCTCTATAGTCGGATATGAAACACTATATATCCATAAATAAGTGTTACGACCCGAAATTCCCCCTTCGGGACCGTGATGGCGCCTAATATTCACTTGCTAGGGAAGCCAATGTTAGAAAATCTCTATGCCAATTTTTAATCAATTTCACTAAGTAAAATCAATTAAACCGAAATGAAACTAAAACTGAGTGCGGAATGACATAAAATCCAATAATATCTAAATACACCCCGGATCTGGAGTCACAAATTCACGAGCATCTAGAGTTTCTACGTCCAGAGTTTGAAATAAGTACAACTGTCTTGAACGATAAGAACAGTAAATAGGGAGAAAGTGGAAAAGGACTTCAAGGTCTGCAGACGCCAGTAGATCTACCTCGAGTCTCCAAAAGCAAAATCCGAGCTAAAACGCCTCACGAACAGCTGGGACCAGTACCAAAATCTGCACAAGAAGTGCAGAGTATAGTATGAGTACAACCGACCCAATGTACTTCGTAAGTATCGAGCCTAAACTCAACAAGGTAGTGACGAGGATATAACAGGACACCCACATAAATAAACCTGTACAGACAGAAATATACGAGAAACATAACAACAAATAGAGAATTAACAAGTGCTATTGGGAGGGAACATGCGAAAGGGGTACAAGAATCGATAAACACAACAAGGAATGATAACTAAAACCAGTCAATAAGCCCTTAACCAGAAAAACGAATAAATATAATGAATAAAACTACACGGCATCACCCTTTGTGCTTTTACTCTCAGCCTCACTATGGAACAATAATAACGGCATGACATCATCATTCGTACTTTCACTCTCACTTTCATCATGCATCAATAGATACGGCACATCATCACCTGTGACGACCCTGCCAGTCGTCTCATGAGTTAATTCTCTGTTTCCCCCATTTTTGCTTCTTATTGCTTTGTCTATCGGTTCTATGAGTGATTGGGTTAGTTGGCTAGGGTTTGGAAAGGTTTTGAGAGGGTTTGAGACACTTAGTCTCTTTTGATGAAGCTTAAGTTGGAAAAGCCAATTGGATGTTGACTTATATGTTAGAGGGCTCGGATGTAAGTTCTGATGGTTCGGTTATCTTTAAGAGGTGATTTTGGACTTAGGAGCGTGACCAGAATGAGTTTGGGAGGTTCGGGGTAGATTTAGGCTTGAATTACCGAAGTTGATATTTTGGCGATTTCCAGTTGGTAGGCGAGATTTTGATATAGGGGTCGTAATAGAATTTTGAGAGTTGCAGTAGCTCCATTGTGTTATTTGGGATGTGTGTGCAAAATTTCAGGTCATTCGGAGGTGGTTTGGTTGCATTTTTGATCAAAAGCGTAATTTAGAAGATTTTAGAATTCTTAGGCTTGAATTCGATGCGAATTGGGGTGTTTCGATGTTGTTTTGAGCATTCCGAAGGTTGGAACAAGTTTGGATGGGGTTATGAGATATGTTGTCATGTCTAGTTGAGGTCCTGGGGGCCTCGGGTGAGTTTCGGGTGATTAATCGGACCATTTCATGTTGTTTGGAATTGCAGAAAAACTGCTGAAGTGTTGCAGAGAATTTGACCTTCGTGTTCGCGAAGGGTTAGTTGAGAAGGCAGATGATTTTAGCCTTCATGTTCATGAGGAAGGCTCCGCATTTGGAAAGGGCTGGATGTTTGTGCATCGCATTCGCGAGAAGGGGAGCGCGTTCGCGAAGAGTTAGTCTGAGGAACCATCGCGTTCGCGATGGGCATGTCGTGTTCACGTAAGAGGTTTTTTGGTCAAAGTCATTTTGTGCTTCACGAATGCGAGGCATTGACCGCGTTCGCGAAGAAAAAATTAAGACCTGGGCAGAATGTTTAAATACTCGTCTTTGTCCGGGTTTTGGGGGTTTATTTCTTCCATTGTTGGTCGTTTTTGGAGCTTTTTGAAGAGGATTGAAGAGAGATTCAAGGGGAATCACTTGGAGGTAAGATTCTTGGACTTGAAACTCGATTCTAATATGAATTCCACTTAAATAATCATGCAAATTAAGCCAAAAATTGAAGAACTAGGGCTTGGAAATTTAGACTTTTGATTGAGGATTTGAAGGACCAATTGAGGTCGAATTTCAGAACTTTTGATATTTATGAACTCGTGGGGAGATAAGAAACTTATTGATGTAAAAATTATCAAATTCCGAGACGTGGGTCTGGGGGTCGGGTTTTGGTAATTTTGGGATTTGTGTCATATATTGATTATTTTCACTTGAGCTTTGTTTCCTTAGCATATTTTGACACCGTGTTTCTGATTTTGGATAGATTCAACGCGAGTGGAGGACGATTCGAGGGGCAAAGGCGTCGTGAGCTAGAGATTTGACCGGTTTGAGGTGAGTAATGATTGTAAATGATGTTTTGAGGGTTTGAAACCCCGGATTGCGCATCGTTGTGCTATATTGAGGTGACGCACATGCTTGTTGACGAGCGTGAGGTCGTGCACTATTGGGGATTGTGACTTAGTCCATCCTGAATAACTATTTTACCATGTATTTGACTAAAATCTATTTGCTATCATCATTACTTGGGATGAATTTCATATTTGGGCTTCGTGCCAACTATTCGAACCCTTCGGGGACTTTTATTGATATTTCCTCATTTTTTTGACTTTATACTTGAACTTAGTCGTGATACATTTCATTGTTTTCGTACTCAACCATGTTTACTCTGTTTTAACACTTAAATGATCTTTTGGGATGAGAATCATGTTTTACTATTGCCTGAGTGGCTTGTGAGGATTTTGACTGAGTAAGGCCGAGGGCCTATGTTGTAAGGAAACATTTGATATTGATTATGAGGCCGACGGCCTGAGATATATACGCCACGAGGTGGCTTGATTGATATGAGGCTGAGAGCCTAGTGATGTATGCCACGAGATGGCTTGATATTGCGCTTGGGCCGTAAGGGGCCCCTCCAGGAGTCTGCACACCCCCAGTGAGTGCGGGTACCCATGTGATGTGAGATGTAGCCCGAGGGGCTGGTATTACTCTGAGATATTGCCCGAGGGGCAGATTTGTTGATATTGTACCCGAGGGACGAATCATTATGTATTTATGTTTCTAAATTACATATCATTAACTGTTTAATCGTTGAAAAGGTATTTCCCAAAGTTTAAACTGAACCTAAATGATTATTCGTATTTCTACTGATTTACTATTTTTAATGGTTTTACAGCTTCATTATAGCATGCTTTGTGCCTTACGTGATTTCCTGCTTTTAGTCTTTATTTATGATTATTACTCACTGAGTTGGAGTACTCACTTTACTTCTTGCACCCTGTGTGGAGATTCAGGCGTATCTGGTCCTGCTCCCGAGTGCTGATCTTTCTGGCTCAGGCGGATCCGAGGAGTCTCTAGGTAGCTGTTGGCGTCCGCAGCCCAGAGCTCTTCCCTATCTTATTTCTTCATATTCTTAGTTTCTGTATTAAACTCTGTAGTTTGATTTGGAGTATTCCGGATTGTTTAGATACTCATGACTAGTGACACCCCGGTTTCGGGCTGTGTTGGGTTGTATTCCGCAAACTTTACTATTATCTGCTACTTTGAGACATTACTATTTGTGCTTCAGACTTATTTCTTGTTGTTTATCTGTTAATAATTGAAATGGAAAGTGTCGGCTGGCCTTGTCTTCACGAGAGGCGCCATCACGATCGGGTCCGGATGTAGGATCGTGACATCACCCTTCGTGCATTAACTCACAAATGTGGCACGACATCACCCTTCGAGCATTAACACTCAATTATGGAACGACATCACCCTTCGTGCATTAACTCACAAATGTGGCACGACATCACCCTTCGAGCATTAACACTCAATTATGGAACGACATCACCCTTCATGCATCAACTCTCAAATATGGCATGACATCAACCTTCGTGCATTAACACTCAATTATGGCACGACATCATCCTTCATGCGTTAACTCTCAATTATGGCACGACATCAACCTTCGTGTGTTACTCTCCCTTATTATGTAATAATGAACATATAACAAAAGGGAGATAGAATAAGCAAGAATAGGCCTTACGTCAACAATGGTCCCACAATACCAACCTCAACGTCAGAACAAATACTCAATTATCACAGATAGCTCACAAATGCAGAAAAATGATCAATTTAGTAATTAACTATTCTAAGCATGGATATCAAGATCAAAAAAAGAAATAGATTACGAGAAACAAGTCTCACCCGCATGCTTTAACCCAACAATAACGCATAAGTACTCGTCACCTTGC